TCTTTCTTAAGAGAGACTTTCCAGGTCTCTGTTCAGTCTTCACCTAGCCCTACTAATATTGGCTGCATTCCAGGATCTTATAAACAGCTGCCTAAGCCAAATTAACAGCTTCTATTAACAGCCAAACTTTGCTTAAGAAGATGTAAAATAGAAAAAAAATTCTGAGAAGACACTGAAAATGTTTAAATTGTTAGAAATATACAGTATGTTGGATTAAGTTTTAAAAACAATTTATAACACAGTTTGAAGGGGGAAAGTTTTGGTATATTAACTGTCATATGATTAAAAAACTGAAGATTGACATTTCTCATTAGTAAATGAGAGTGCTTTTACTGAAACAACACATATTATTAATTAGGTGTTAGTTGCTTATCTTTTTTGTAAAACAAATATTGCATTAGGTTTAGCATTTAAAAGCATCTGCTCAGAGCCCCATTATGATAGCACAAGAATCCTTTTACATCCATATAATAAAATAACAGATGCTTCCTTGTGACGACTTCCTAATTTGTGTAGGAAACACTCAATCCCAGATCCCATTTCCCCATACAGTGTAGCAGCCGTGCAAGTAAAATAGTTACAAAGAAGCAATCACTGAAAATTCAAGAAATGCAGAGTTATTTTTCTGGAAAGTGCAACCTAAAAGTATATACTCTGTTAAATATTGAACAATTAGGGTACTTCCCTCATTACACTGCAAGTGTTTTGGTCACTGATAGCTATTCTGAGTCAAGCCTTTCACACAAACATTAATTCTGCTGGAATCAATGAAAAGTGCAGGTGTGCAGCCTACATAACACACTATTAATCAGACCTGAGTAATAGAACTAATTCTTTGTTTATGCTCGTGTATATTTTCATTGGAATGATTAATATAATGTTCACATTATGACATATGCATGCCAAAGAGTAAATTCATCTGTCTGACAGTAGGGCCTAAGAGCCTTGTGGTGCAGTGGTTAAACTGCTGTACTGCAGCCAAAACTGTGCTCATGACCTGGGGTTCAAATCCCAGGTAGCCGGCTCAAGGTTGACTCAGCCTTCTATCCTTCTGAGGTCAGTAAAATGAGTACCCAGCTTGCTGGGGGGCGGGGATGTGTAGCCTGCATAATTAACTTGTAAACCGCCCAGAGAGTGCTTGAAGCACTATGGGGCGGTATATAAGCAGCATGCTTTGCTTTGCTTTTTGCTTGCTTAATGTCAGTTGTGACTAACAGGTTCCATTTGTTCAACAGGTCTGTTCTGGTTGGGATCAAAATTATATTTACCCCAATATGTCTATGGTTATGAGTATATCTGCAATATGCCCCTAGTTTATAGGGCTTATATATCTATCAGATATCTAGGGAGAAGAAACAGCCTTCGTTATGGTTTTCATATCCCACTGAGTCGCTATGGTAATTCAAAGTACTTTCACTTACACAAAATGGAAGGCTCTTGCCCTGTTTTTGCTGTTTCTTTTTGTTCTCTGCAGTCCCCTGTACCCCCAGAAAGGTGTTCCTGAGAGTTAGAAAACCATCCAGAAAGGTAAATGAGTGTGGTAGAGAAGGTTATGGGAGGCAGAAGGGGCTGGCTGGTGTTTCTGGGGGAGATCTTGCATGCTGTCTTGACTTTGAGTAACTGAGGTGGGGGGGGGTTCTGAGCTGTGGTGATTCTATCTGTCCAGCACTAACCAATTGTTCCTACTTTGAGTAACTGAGGTGGGGGGGTTCTGGGCTGTGGTAATTCTATCTGTCCAGCGCTAACCAATTGTTCCTTCAAGCCTTTGAATTCAAAAGAGAGCCCTGTTTCTCTGCTGAGTAGTTTTCCCCCTCTCTTTGGTCTTTTGGTGGCCTTTGATAGTTTGCTGTTTAATCAATTTGTTGCTAAGTATGTGTGCAGTAAAGAAAACAGCATATATAAGTCTGGAACTTCGTGTAAGTGAAGAAAAAGTTTTTTGCTGTTTCTACTACAAATATCTCAGAATGAGTTACTGAGACTTTACATGCCAGTTAATGAGAAAGGGGTGAACTTTCGGGGAGTAGAAGCTATTCTCCAGCGCCGTCTCTGTACTTTTATTGCATAGCAAGAAGGAATTTTACCAGAAATTCAAAACTCTGCAACAATTTCTTAAAATAGTTTGTGCAGCAGGAACTCGGGGGTGGGGTGGGAACTGGCTAATGGATGTCTGAGAATATAAGCAGGAAGAACCCCATTTAACATAACTGATTGATCACTTCCAACACATTAGGACAGCAGTTCTTGCTCTGTGTGGGGCCATGACGGCAATTAACATGGAAAGCTCTTGTATAGAGAACATCTTTATACTTCCTTCTACTTTTGTGTAAAACAATCAGGATTGTGTCCTCAGAGATGTATCACATTGAGTCATACTAGCTTCTCCCTGATTTAAAATTTTTACTTCTTGATGACATTATCAATTATAATGGCTAGAGTTGGGATAATCTGTTTTAAAGGAGTACTTCCTATGCATGTAATCTCACCTATTTTCTGGTCTCTTCTCTTCAGTCACAGAAGGTGTTAAGATCTGTAAAGGCTATATTGAAGGGACTTAAACTTATTTTAGAACATGGCTCGGTGTCAGTAAAGTGATGCTATCAACATGTGCAGACATCAACGTTTACTTCCCCGGTAAATTCTTTTCATCCACCCTATTGGAAATACAGAGCAAAGGATTACATATGAGTACTCTAGCCTTTATGTCACACATCCTGTTACTACTGTTTACCAAACAGAAAGGGATTAGAGCTGGCCTTAAGGAGGATTCAGAAGTCCTTGTATGTTTATAAATCACAGATACAGCTTTTGCCTTGTCTGTAGAAAAACAGCAGGCAAAAAAGGAGAGTGAGCAAGGTCTGACTCTCTAGTAAAACCACACAAGTTCTTTCTACTCAAAAAGATTTGTAGTGTTGCAAATGTCTGTTTAACAGTTTGCTTTAAAATTGATTCAGTGATTTCCTAGAAAATACAGTACTGCTATTCTTCCTTAATACATGCCTTAACTAGTTTTAATCATATTTTGAATAGGCATATTTCCTAGAAAGATCAGATTTTCTAAATTGGGACATAATGTTAAGTGTCCCACTTAAACTTAAGTGTTAGTTGAGCTTTAACACCTGTGTCTGTCATCTTTTATCTGATCAGTTCTTGTAGTTTTCCAGTGTGAAAGGAAAAAAAAACTAAGCTTTGTTAAGGTGCAAAACACCACTAGCTGTTGCTAAAGCATTTCTGTTGTTTGGAAAGCTGATTTTCTGCTGCTAATGGCCTCATTTTCAAAAGCCCTGAGCCTCAGTCCCTGCAAATAAATCCACTTTGTAAGTGGCTAGTACATAAACATGCATTCATAAAAATAATGGAATGGAAATTGTAATGGGGAGAATGTAATGTATATTTGTACAGTGGGGTCCAACTCTGTTACAACTTACATTTTTTACCATACTGTATATTTATCTTTTAGCCTTTTGTTCCACACAGTGGAAGTAAAGAACAGATTTAAGGAATGGTCTTCTTTCAGTCAGCAGAGGCATTCCATTTTTAGTAATTTTTAAAAGATTGTGAACGGCACTATATGTATCAGTTGAGTGGTCTTTTAGCAAGCATGGATGGTGGGCATTTCTTCTTTTAAAATACTCTTAAATCTATCTCATCAGCGTGGATTTCTGAGTTTGGATTTGTTCAGCATCTCTTTAACTTCTGAAAAAATATTATTTGAAGCTGTTTTATCCCTTGAAATGACTGGACATCCATAACACTTTGCAGAACTAAACTGCCTTTTTCTGAATATGAGTCAATTGGGTCCATGCAGACCAGTGGAAATACTGCATCAAAGGAGAAAGGCTTTTCCACTTATCTGGCTCAATTTACCAAGTTACCAAATACAGTGTTGATAAAAATTGCTTTAGTAATGGTGTAATAAAACGTAAGTTAAACTGCAAAATGGGAGTACTGTGTATTTGGCTGCATGAATTGGTCCTAACTTGGAAATCTCATAGACTGACATGGCTGATTTGTGCCTTTCTAACTGTTGGACTGTGACATCCATCATCCCTTACTGTTGGGCTAATGGGAGCTGAAATCCAACAATATTTGGAGAACTACAAGTTGAAGACAAACATGGCATAGAGTTGGTGTAGCAGAATGCTGCCTGTATAGCTCACTGAGTTGGAGCACCTGGCTATGGAGCCAAGTGTCAGGAGTGTCCTGACACTCCAACGTGCCACCCAGGAGAAGAGCCAGTTTCTGTAGTGTTCAGCAAGCTTCACAGTCCCAGTGAGCTCTCAGAAGAAGGGAATGGTAAACCACTTCTGAGTGCTCTATACCTTAAAAACCCTAGAAAGAGTCACCATAATTCAGAATTTACTTAATATCATGTAACTATATATGCAAAATGGTTAAAAGATTGGGGAAAAGTTTAGGAAGATGTTGGTTCACATCCTGCTTCTGCCATGAGCTTACCAAGAAGCCATAGACAAGCCCTATTTTCTGAATTTCGGTCTGATGTTACATTCTCCCATCTGCAATGTAGAAGGTTAATAATTCTGAATGACTGAGTGTACAAAGTAGTTGTACACAATGCAACTAGATGGGTACATATGAAGTGCATTGAGTATTCGAAAAACATTGTCATAGCACCAGCAGTAGCAAGTTGGGAGCAATCTTCCATTTAATTCAAATGTATCCTTCCTTTCCATTGGCAAAACTTCTAGAAGTTTGCCACAGAGCTAGCTGTACGTAGTGCAGATTGTCTAGAGATCATTGAGTGACTGCCGTTTTTACCCAAGGCAACAAATGAACCAATATATTTATAACATTTTGGAATGCTTGCAAGTTGACTTGTAATTATGCAAGTTGACCGTTATTATGATGAAACAGGTAACAGCAAAATGGCAGGACTTTTTAGTAGTTCAGATATTTACTGATTTGATACTATGATGCACTAGCAGTAAGTTATTCCCCTACCCTTTTCAACTCCCACTGTTTATGGATGTTATCTGTTTCAGGACGGTCCAGAGGACTCACAAGTGGCTGGAATTTCTACAGCATCGGAGGTGATTCGCTATGAATACCATGTTTTGTATTCCTGCAGTTACCAAGCTCCTGTACTTTATTTTCGGGCATGTTTTTTAGGTAAGATGCCATGCACATGAAATAAATATTTAAAAGAAAAATAAATGAAATTCCATAGTATTTCTACTAAACCAGCAGGAAAATTAAATGGTAAAAAAAAACTGGAGTGAAGTATTGCTTTATGATTCACTTCTCATGTATGTTTAAGATTCTGTAGGTAGCATCATTATCTTGAAGCAGATGATATCATTTCACCCTGAAGAAATGTGATCTTTATATTTCTGGCAAAAAGCCTATGGTTGACTAAAGCTGCTGATCATTTTTTTTAAATTCTTTAAATGACCCTTCCCCAAGTCTACAAGCTACACTCAGGAATGGTATGCCTCGTCTGAGTTTTTTAAAGGTGTCCCTGATATGGAGTTATCCAAATATTCATTTTAAATTAATATTTTTCTCTATTTATATTTATATATAAATAGAGAAAGCAGCTTATTACATCTACCATAAGCTTCTTTTTAAACTAATTGCACCAGGAACTTGCTTTATGTATTTTCATTCTTGTGCATTTTACTTTAACCTATGTTCTTCTGGACAGTGTATTGCAACCTATGTCACATAGTCGTTTGCTCTCTCACATTTTTCCAGAAAGCTGAGAATTCTGCCCCTTTCAGATTCATTGTTAGTAATACTTACTCTGTTAGTAAGCATAAACTGATAGTACAGCAGCACTGCATGTACTCCATCTCTTCTGTCCCAAGAGTACCACGCTACCTGGGGCTAGGGAGTTGGATTCTTGAGGTCATTTCTAAACTTAGTCATCTCTATAGTAGGAGCAACAGCTTTTGTGTTTAGAATGATCTAGCTTTATCTAGATTAACACATCTGAATGTTGCTATTGATATCATTTCCTTTTTAATTAAAAAGTAGCTTAAGCTCGTTTGAATGTGTTTGGTAGATTTAATCGCTTGCTGCCTTGTATTGTTTAATGGCTTTTAATTTTGCCATGTTAGCATTTTAACCAGTTCTTTGGATGTAAAATGGATGAACACTTCTCTGGTGAAAGGATATTTAATTTGAGGTTCCTTTTCATACAAAGGACAATTCAGGGCATATTTTCAAGTTAGGATATATGGAATTGGGGGGATTATCTCTGGGTCCATTGCTAGTAATGATTCCCTAATTCACACATGTCACAGTGCAATTATATGCTTATATGCTTGGGATTATTGCAAACATTTAAGGAAGTAGGAATAGACTATTTAATTTGGTTGCAGATGAGAGAATAAAGAAACTCTTGCTGCCCAAATCACAAAGTAATTTAAATGTATAGGAAGAGATATGCTAATTTAATTGTAGTTTGGAAAAAAATGTTATCTTTGTGTCCAGAACAGTATACATTTTGGGAGCAAACAGTTGGGGGTGGAGTTGTGATATTGCAGTTAAAGGGAATAATGCAATAGTTTTTTTAAGTTAGTATTTTCATATAATTAGTATTCACTATGAACAGTTAATCACCAGAGAAGAGCTCCCAGAGACAAAACAAGTTGTTTAGCTTGTCAGCATCAGGGAATCGGAGGTGTTGAAACATGACTCCTTATAGCTGGAAGTGGTATTACAAAAGCTGATGGATGATCTAATGCAGTCTTAGTATTGTGTTCCAACAGCTCCCCTTGCAGCACAGAATTTTAATTGTTCCTGTTTGTATAATTATATGTTTTAAGCACATGTCATGGGGATTTTCACAGTAGAAAATAATGACTTTTAGATGATTTCTGTATCCAACTTGGGGTTCTTTATCTTTGTAGCCTTCTTCCCCTTCTGCCCTGAAAAGTATGACACATGCTGATTTAAACATTATTTCTTATGGATTCTACTTAGATGCCCTTTAGTTGTTACAGTGGTGACAGAACTGTTTTTCTGTGGACCTATACTATTAAATAGCTTTAAATGCAACCTGGGGTAATTTAGTAGAGAAGTGGCATATAAATTATAAATAAATAAATAGGACTAAATCCAATTATTAGCCCCACATGAAGTAGACCTACTGAATGGATTGTACTTGTTAAGTCAACTTTAGTTAGGTCCAATATATTCGCGAAGGCTTTCACGGCCGGGATTTAATGGTTGTTGTGGGTTTTTCGGGCTCTTTGGCCGTGTTCTGAAGGTTGTGCTGTCCTCTGAAGATGCCGGCCACAGAGACTGGCGAAACGTTAGGAAGAACAACCTTCAGAACATGGCCAAAGAGCCCGAAAAACCCACAACAACCTTTAGTTATGTCCCATTGATTCAGTGGTCAACTCTAATTCAGGTTAACAGTTCGATTTTGCATGCAGTGTTTACAGGTCTGCAACAGTATGGTAGGGTGCAATGTGCAGATGTTCTCCAGGCAACCAGTGCATGATTGGGATCAAGGTCAGCAATTGTTTGATGAGAACCACTGTATTTGTCTGTTTATGGGTTCAATCTGTGTGTGTGGGGGGGAAGAGTCCTCTATTAATGTTGTAATTCTTGAAGAATTTGCCTATTGTTTATTCTTTATTGTTCATGTCTATTGTTTACTGTTTATTGCTTAATGTTTCTGTATATTTTTATTTTTGTTATATGTATATGTTATTACATTTTACTTGTCTGGAAGCCACCTAGAGTGGCCGTTTCATCAGAAAGGCGGGGTATAAATAGAATAAATAAATTAAATAAATAAAATATCTGAATGACACTTTATTTTCAGCTTGAACAGCACATTTCCTTACAGTACACATTCTATTTTATTCAAGATGATTTAGCACTCAGCAATCTAAATATGTACATTGGAGTATCTAATTGAGTCATTGGTATGAAACCATTAATTGGATTTCATCAGATAGGTGGGGTATAAATAGAATAAATAAATTAAATAAATAAAATATCTGAATGACACTTTATTTTCAGCTTGAACAGCACATTTCCTTACAGTACACATTCTATTTTATTCAAGATGATTTAGCACTCAGCAATCTAAATATGTACATTGGAGTATCTAATTGAGTCATTGGTATGAAACCATTAATTGGAGTCCTGTTCAGTACTGGTGAAGTATATAATGCCACTAGCACAGTAACATGGACAATGGCCATGGCTGCTGGCAGATTCTGGGAGTTGTCATAAAAAAAATTATGTAATTTGCTCAGTAGAACTGCTAGTAAAATATATATGACACCTATAGTGAATGGAGCAGTCCTGGCTTGAACAATATGACACTGAACATGGCAGCATAGGTAGTACTGCATCTCAAAACTGTTTCACCTAAAATGAGCTTCTATAGAAAACTTCCTGCAATTGCCTGTTTTTGTGCTGTGGAAAGCTACAGTTCTCAACACCAGCAAGTCTCTCAAAAATGTGCATTAAGCAAAATGGAAGTGCATGGATTAAGTTACAGAGAAAGTGACTTCTGTGGAGGAAATTTTATAATGAACCATAGAATAATTAAATTGGAATGGGCTTATAAGGCCATCAGTCCAACCCCCTGCTGTGTACAGGAATCCAAATCAAAGTAGATCTGAAAGATGGTTGCCCAATTTTCTGTTCAATATCTCCAGCATTGCAGTACTCACCACTTCCTGAGGGAATTGGTTCCATTGATGTACTATTCTGTTAAGAGTTTTTTCTTGATATTTCATCTAAATCTGACTTCCTGTAGCTTGAGCCCTTTATTTCATGTCCTGCAGTCTGGGATTATCGAGAACAGATCCTGCCCCTCTTCTGTAATAGTGTCTTTCAAGTATTTGAAGAGTGCTGTCTTAGTGTCTTTCAGTTATTTGAAGAGTGCTGTCTTATCTCCTCTCAGTCTTGTTTTCTCAAGGCTAAACATGCCCAATTCTTTCAATCTTTCCCCTAAGCCTTGGTTTCCAGTACCCTGATCATCCTTGTTGCCCTTCTTTGAACTTGTTCTAGTTTGTTGGCATCCTCCTTAAAGTGCTGTGTCCAGAACTGAACACAATACTCTATATGAAGCCTAACCAGCACCAAATAGAAGGGGACTAGTACTTGTGGATAAAAATATTGAAGAGCACTGGGCCCAGGACTGTGCTGTGTGTGGTACCCCGTTTGTTACCTCCTCTCAGTTTGAAAAGGAACCATTGATAAGCACTCTCTGAGTAAGTCTCTATAACCAATCTGATAGTTGTTCTATCTAGCCCACACTGAGTTAGCTTGCTAAGCAGAATATCAAGGGGCAGCTTGTCAAAGATGTTGCTGATGTCAAAGTATATTATGTCTACAGCATTCCCACCATCTGCTGATGTCGAGATATATTATGTCTACAGCATTCCGACCATCCAAAAAATGAGATAAGATTAGTATGGCCGGATTTGTTCTTGACAAATCTATGTTGCACGCTGGTTATTACTGTATTGTTTCCAATGTGCTTGCAGGGTGTCTGCTTTATGACCTGCTCCAGAATTTTCCCTGGGATTGATGGTGTCTGCTTTACAACCTGCTCCAGAATTTTCCCTGGGATTGATGTCAGATTGATGTCAGGGGGTAGTTCCCAAGTTCCCCCTTTTTGAAGATAGAAACAATGTTACCCCTCCTCCAAACATCAAGCACTCAGTAATATCAAGAAATCAGGCGGTAGTTCCCCCTTTTTGAAGATAGAAACATCAAGCACTCAGTAATATCAAGAAAATAATAGACAGTGGTTCTTACGCTGTTTCCCGGAAAATAAGACCTAACCTGAAAATAAGCCCTAGTATGATTTTTCAGGATGCTTGTAATATAAGCCCTACCCCAAAAAAAGCCCGAGTTAAGTGAAACCCTGCCCTCCACCATTATGCAGTATTGTGCAGCAACCAGAAGATGACATAACTGTAAAATAAAACATCCCCTGAAAATAAGCCCGAATGCATTTTTGGGAGCAAAAATTAATATAAGACCCTGTCTTATTTTCTGGGAAACACGGTAGATGTCTTTAGCCAATTCCTTCAATAACCTTGGATGCAGTTCATCCAGTCATGGGAATTGGAACTCATTCAAACTACTGTAACAAGATGTTCCTGGACTATTTGGTTACTAATCTCAAACTGCAACCCTGTCCCCTTCCTTTGTACTGTCCTTCACATTTGCCTGGAAGTACAAGTTGTGTTCTTATTTTCCTATATTTTGTTTTGTTTCACACATGTTGAAGTTAGTCTTCCTAAGTGGTGAACTGTGAATCCTGCCTTCCCTTTTGAATATGTTCAGAAAAACAAAACAAAACGGAGTCTGATGGCAGCAGTATTTCAAGTTGTATCTAAATATGACATTCAAATGTTAATTAGATGAATAAATCTTGTTTATTTCTCAGACATGAAAATGTCAATGGAATAAACCAATCTATCACAAGGTAATGGCCTTCTGACATCTGATAAATGCCAAGATAATGATAGTTATTTAAAATGTATCAAAACATTCTCTCATTTGCCAAAAACAAATATTCAGCAAAGTTTGTATGTCTGTTTCCATTGTTTTATAACACCTTAGCCTCAATGCAATATCCATCAGTAGATACCAGTCAGCATTGTATGGTAAGGAATCCTCTGGGTCAGCCTTTCTCAACACCTGCCCTGCTGGTGTGTTGAACTCTGGTGCGGAAAATGACAGCAGCAGTCCTCAAACCCCGGAAGGCATCAGACTGAGGAAGGGAGAGAGAGAGAGCATACTTATTCTACTGCTTTGGTAGAACAGTTGCAAAACATCAATGAGCAGAGGTCAGCCACCTCTTTGATACTCCACAAATACTCTTAGATGGTACTATATAGCTTGTTTATTACTAAGAATAGTTTGTGTCATTCTCAGTGCTGGTTCTATATTTGCTGTTGGATTATCTGGAAACATTTTTTCTATATAATTAGTCTCACAATGAGTTATATGGATTTCTTTTATTCAGATGGAAGGCCTTTAACTTTAGATGAAATATGGGAAGGCGTACATGAATGCTACAGGGAACGCCTCTGGCAGGGGCCATGGGAAACCATCACACAACAGGTTAGAGATATCTAACTTAATTTTCTTGAAAACTAGATACCAGTGTTTATGTCATGTGTTTGTGTAGGTAAATATAAATGTTGTTGTCACACCTTGTCAAGTCACCTTCAGCTTATGGTGACCTATGAATGAGTTGCCATAACTCAAAGGACTCTTGCCTTTATGAATGAGTGATCTCCAAAATATCTTCTCAACAGCAATGCTCAGTGTGACAACCCCAGACCTACTGGAGGATGCCACAGTTTCACTAAGCTGCCACCAACCATTCCCTATAAGAAGTCACACAGACCAGGGATGGATTTTCAACAAGTTCATCAGATATTAATACAGGCATCAATATATTAACTGGTTCATTGACAAGGAGAGGAGTTGATTAAATTCATTTAATAAAATTGAGAGGTACTAGCAAAATAGAAAATAATTGAGGGATTAGAGCAGTTTTTCAGTACAATACTTGAAGTAGTCAGTTGGCTACATATAGTTATTCTCTTGTTACTGTTGCATATCCTCCTTGCATCCAGATGGAGTTCTAAAATTGTCTATGAGAGTTTATTTCTCTCTCCAAAGAATGATCCACTATATTGTGGAACAATTCCCAGATCCATTTTGAATAAAAATGATCTCATGGGAGTTTGCATTGTTAATACTGTACTACATTTAAAGAGACAAGATATGCACAGTATATTTGTACTGCAGCCTTTATCTTAAAGTAACTTTAATTTATGTAGTATTGATAAGCATATACAAATATGTTACTTCTTAATTAATGGGGGGGGGAGAAAAGGAACTTGATTTTGTTTGAACTGTGCTAAAGCCAGTCCTTTCTGATAAAAAATGAGAAACATTTACTTGCTGAAATCAGAAGTATTGTACAGTAGCGCTTTTCTTATTGCTTAGACGTGAAATTTCTGGAAATTTTAAAGCTATTGAAAGAAACCTGTATTTTGTTGGAAAATTTCAAGGAAAAATAAAATATACACAATATTTATTTTCACGCCAAACCTATACTTCTGTGCTTAAGCATCACAGAATTTTTCATTCATAACTTGCTTCTCATAAAATCACTAACTTTGCTGCTATTCAGCATATTTATGAAATTTACAATACATAAGCTGTACAGAAGTAGTTCTGTAGAAGTAGAATTGTGAAAAGACTCTTAAGAGAGAGCTGCATATTGCTGTACATCAGGCTACCAAGGTACATGTCTGTTGCCATCTAAGAAAGAAGAAAATGAGAACAGAAACAATGACTTTCGCAATAAACAATATGAAGTGTATTGCTTGGAGTGAAACAGTCTTCCTTTTCCTCTGATTGTCTCCACTAATGCAGAACAGAGTTCACTCAGAATAAGGTAAGCAGCAGTCAATAAGAAATGAATATGCGTGTATGCTCCTCTTATGAAGAGGGCAGCATTCACTGGGTGGAGAAGCAGCTTGGATGTTAGAGTTGTCTATATTATTGTTCTCTGGATTTAATTTTCATACTGTGCAGTTCCTGACATTTTGAGTGAGTGAAACCTTGTCTTTAAAATTCATTTCCCTGATTCAAAAAGGAAAAAATGGATTTGTTTTGCATCTTCATTCCCTAGTTACCAATTTTCCCACCAAAGGAATTGAAAATTTGTCCTTGAGGAAAATGTGTTTTTTCATGGCCCTTTTGTTTCTATTCCTGCTCTTTGACTCAGAAGCCTTCTAATTTGGTGAATGGACATAATCTGTTTGGTATATAGATGAGAGTTGTTCTCCCTTCAGTGTAGAAAAAGTACTACTCCCTGATTTATGGGAATTGCTGTTATATCCATGGATCAGTGTTGCTTTGTTGTTTGTTGTGTGATTATGCTATTGTTGTGCTTGGAAATGTGTAAACTAGGCATGGGATTTTTGGATTTTTTTTAAATGAAAGATTCCATAATTTTCAGTTCTGTACATTCCATCTGAATTGCCAATACCTACAGATGGATAAATATGATTCACCTGAGGAAAAAGTCTAGCTGGGAGGCGTAGCATAAGCCAAGTTCCACTTTAGCTTCCTTTGTAGAAAGGAAGTTTTCTATTGATAGCTGGAAGCTTCCTTTCCGCACAGGAAGCGTGGCTGGAGCTAGAGGTTGTCTAAATGTCTGTATGAGCCACAGTTGCCAGTTTGCATCCATTTCAGAAATTAGTGTTTACAAGGGTCCAAGGCAGGATTGGTTGCAATATAATTTCTCTTTAATAGAGTTATAAGCATAGAATTTCATATTCACAGAGGCTTAGTCAATAATAGAATGTCTAAACAACACAACACACTAATGGTTGGGTAAGGTAAATACATTGAATACCTTGAGCCTGAAAATCTTCAAGGTGCTATAAAGAAGATGAAGAGAACCTGTTCGTACGCTGGCAACACTGCTTAATTCTCTCAGTTGTGACCACCATTGTGCCATTGGTTAAAATAATATAGTATTACTGGGTTGGATCCAGAATTAAGTGGATCTAACAGGAGCACCCTTGTTTCCTGCTGACATTGGTTTTCTGAAACTGGTTCATTAGAGCACACAAGGACCTTTTTGAATGGCGTGGCTTGGGGTGAGAGGAGCTGAAAGATTACTCTTTTTCTCTCTGTGCCTTAGCACAGGCTGAGAGGAGGTGGAACAATCTGCTCCAAAGAATTGGAGCCTTTCTAGGGCAGATTTCTGGGAGCATAGGGGATCTGTAAAGTAGAAGAGAGGGAACATTGTCACCTGTAATTTTTTTTCAAACCACCCTTGGAGAATAATTGAGGTATATGACAATTTTACATAATGTAGAGCAACAAAGGAAGCTGTCTTGTACTGTTAGTGGCAAGTGAACTTGCCTTCTGGTGTCATAGATTGTATGTGTTGGGCTCAGTGTTCTCGTCCCATGTTGAACATTGGTAGCTAAAGTGTATGGATTCAAGGTGATTTAGTCAGATTGATGTGTGAGATTTAGTTGGCATACAGCCAGTTCCTTGGGCTGAAAGTATTTGGCATTAGGGGTTGACTAATAATCAAAGTAGCATAAAGGTAAAAGTTAAAGGTTCCCCTTGACATTTTTAGTCCAGTCGTGTCCGACTCTAGGGGGCGGTGCTCATCCTGTTTTCAAGCCGTAAAGCCAGCGCTTGTCCGAAGACAGTTTCCATTGTCACGTGGCCAGCGTGACTAGGGAATGCCGTTTTACCTTCCCACCAAGGTGGTACCTATTTATCTACTCGCATTTGCATGCTTTTGAACTGCTAGGTTGGTGAGGAGCTGGGACAAAGCAATGGGAGCTCATTCGGTCACGTGGATTCAGTCTTACGACTGCTGGTCTTCTGACCCTGCAGCACAGACAGTTAAGTGGTCTAGCTGTACTGATCTACATGCTGTATTAGACTTCTGTCAGATGGTTTTGCTGGCAGCAGTGGCTAAGTGTACAAATGTGATTTTTTTTTGCTGATTTATGAGATAGTATTTACAGAGGCAGTGGAAGACAGGAGGGCCTGGCGTGCTCTGGTCCATGGGGTTACGAAGAGTCGGATACGACTTAACAACTAAACAACAAAAAGAGAAGAGGAATAAACTGGACCAAGAAGACTTGTTGTGCAATGTGATCCTTTCCTCACCCCCTTGGTTGTCTTCTCTTCAGTGTCCTTTCATCAGCAAGAAGGCCTTTCACAGTTTAGAGCCCCAAAGCACAACTTGTTAGTTAATGCACTGGTTTTCTCATTTTAAATGCAAACTAGTATTAGGATTTTAATTAGTAGATGCAGTTTTTAATTTTCATTTTATTTTAATAACATAATGAATTTAATTCTGTTTTAATGCTCATAACTTATACTGTCTGTTAATTTTCTGTTGTTTTTAACTGTATTGTAAGCCACCTTGAGTCCCAAAATAAATCTCTGTGGTTTAGCTCAATGGATGGAAAACCTTAAATAACAGACCTGTGCTGAATGAATGAATGAATGAATACTTTTTTTATGGTAAAAGACCAGTACTGTAAAACCAAATCAATATGAAATAGATACATATAATTACAATTTTGAAGGGTCAGTCAGGGTAATAAAATTCTATTAAAACGTGATAAAACAACCACTTCTTTCCATCATATATCCTTAATATAAGTAAAACCTCAGCTATTGTTATATTAAAAACATATCCATATAAAATCACCTACCCAAACATTTGATTACGAATAACCATTGCTGCCACACAGAATTTGGCCACTTGTCTCGTAATATAAGGGGTATTGTCCGAGAGTAGCAACTGGACATAATCCTCTGATCTTCCGGAGACCTGTGCTGATAAAGGGTTGGTTTAGCAAGTGGGAAGCTGGATAGCTACCTCCCAATGATCAGGAATTTAACCTCTTGTCACCTTGATTCAGATTTAAGGTCAGGCAAAATGTGGCCTGTGGTTTGTATGGAGGCCCTAGGGTCCCAAATGTAGCCCCATAACACCCCTGAAATTAATGTTAAAATGCTCAGAATTCTCCTGTGGCCACTAATAAGGGGCAATTTTGCCATGTTTGGGGTTTGTCCAGAACCTCCTGCTTCATCTGCAGATTTAAAGACTATAGGTTTTTTGCCACTGGAAGATGTGAGGGGGCTTTTTCAGTAAAAAGAAAGAAAGAAGGAGGATAAAAGGAAAATATGGGGTGGGGCACAGGATTTGGTGCAGCCCCACACCAAACCTCCAGGGGTATTATATGAAGGCCCTGGTTTTCCAGTAGGATGTAATATTGGACCTATAAACACGATTTTCATATTTTCATAAAAAATAATTCTATTCATTATATCATTCTACCTTTAGTTTACAGTACTTCCGTGCTAAATTGGCAGACATGAATGAAATTATTCAAAGCAGTGTTGTATCATTGACCTTGTCCCCAAGGATTAGCTGGGAAATACACAGTTGTTTTAGTAAGTGGTTGTTTAGAAATGTAATTTAAACTATTGTTCCAAGCTATACTTTCAAATATAATCTGATTTTTATGACAACTTTTTCTACATTCCCTTTAATC